AGCTCAGCATTGTGATGAGTCATTGACCAAACCATAGTCAATGGCGCGGTCTATTTTAAATCCTCAAAATAGCAATGCGCCAACAATGCGCCTTAACACAACCTCTTTTATAGACCAGCACAAACATGAGGCCACAAAGTGGTGCAAATAGATTTGCTATTTAAACAACATGGTGCAAAACGTGAAAACGCGGCTTGTGCCTTATTGCGCTGGGTGTATGATTGAGTCCAGAAAATAATGCAATGATTGGCTAATTAATAAAAAAAGGTAGGATGTATTGAATGCCACTTTTGCTTTAAATGCAACTTCTCATATCTAAAGTGCTGGAGTAGATTTAATGCTAGTAGTCTGCAGTCTAGGAAGGAATGTGTAAAAAGCGAGAGCACATTATTCACTATTAGTATGCCAGCATGCATGCTCACTTAATGTAACAGTAGCACAGAGAGAAAGAGGCACACAAGTTCTCGTTAAAAAGAGGAAGACGGTCGACACAAAACACAGTCAACCTGAAAATAGAAATGGTGACATACTTAGCATCCCTCGTAGCACACCTCAGTGGCATTTTGGTCTGTTTCAAAATGTGTTTGTACTCTGCTTGTGCCAAAATGCACTTATAAGAGTGTTTTGATCAGCTTAAATCAGTAGATTGCAATTATAGTAGATATTTTCTCCTGCATTGAGCTATAAATCTCCACTTCAGCACCTCTGCCTGACATTTACCAAACTTCACCTTTTTATTCATATCTGAAGTTTTTTTTAGGGGGATTTTGTTTATTCATATTTTGGCACATACATACAGTATCGTGTGTTTGAATAAGTGCTGTCACGATTACCAGTATCAAGGTAAACCAGTCTATTTTTCGATTGTTTAATATTAGGGTTTTAGATTTATGTTATTAATAAAACCATGAATTGATTGCATTTTGAAAAAACTCACTGTAAATCATATAACTTTGTGATCAACTATTGTGTAAATACATGTTCATATAAACAGTCTAAAGAAGTTGTTGACATGGAATTGAACCAGATTTTGGTAAAACCCAAACAATACAAACATAAAATACATGGAAATGTATTAATTACTTTATATTAAAGGCTTTTTAGGTGATGGCATCTTAAAGACGCCTATCAGGTGGAGAATGAAGTCACATGTATTGCTCAGGTGTTTTTTCCACTGACTTCAGCAGAATGTAAAAATCTTGCTGCTTCTGTGAGTCTTGTATATCAAATCTGATCTTTAATTTGTATTTTATATTGGATTCAGGTCAGGTGATTGGCTGGGCCATTCATCAGCTTTATTTTCTTTCTCTGAAAGCGTTTGAGAGTTTCCTTGGCTATGTTTTGGATCATTGTCTTGGTGAAATGTCAACCCTGGTTTCATCTTCATCATCCTGCTAATGTAGATGTTGGAATAAAGCACCTAATATCATATAAAATGATGAAGGGCAGATGGTTAATGAAGAACTACTTAGAGATTTCAGCTGCTGTCTGGGCTTTCACTTCCTTTCTACACCTCCCTTTCTTCTTGTGTTCAATATTTTTCCTAGTGTCATTTAAATTTATAACGCATGTCTTAGTTTGTAAAGTAACTACATTTATTTTCTTTGCATATGTGGATTTCTTTGGTTGTTAGCAACATCCAAGGAAAATTTCAAGTCAACGGCACCTTTAGATATGTTTTTTTTCTGAGAAAAATGGTGACGTGTTCAGTACTTCTTTTCCCCGCTGTATATATTTATAAATTCAGTTAAAGTATGTTGAATTCCTTTCATTTGAAGTGTGTGCTGCACAATATTTAGAATAATGAGCTGAGGATTGACTTCACAAAATTAAATATCAATTAAAAGTATTGCAATTATTTTTTTTTATCAATTCACAAAACCCTTGTCTTTTATAAAGCAGCTTTATGCAGTTTGTAAAGCAAGGTAAACATGGACATCTGAGTCTGAGGTAGTTGTAGAATGGCTGTTTAAAATACAGGAAAAACTGACATTGCGATTCTTTTAATTTTCTAAGATGTATATAGTGACATGGAGTATAAATTCACCAGATGAAATGTATAGGTCTATTTGAAAAGAATATATAATTTTAGATACATTGAGATGGTTTTGTAAGTGAGAGCAACAACAAAAAATATAATAAACCAATCACTGACAAATGAGAAATACAGTAGAGCAATGCTGTACAAATAAAATGTGCAGTGCTGTATGATTTTTCTGGACGTCTAGTAATATTCAGATACACAGTTTAATAATCAAATGAAAAATAACATTTCTTCATAGTATAGGCTATTTCGATGTGATGTTGTTATTGACCCACAAACATTTCCTGCTTGTTGTCAAACTATTTCGTATTTGTAACAAATGGCAATTTAATCATAACATAACATTAAAACAGCCATCATAACATTGTTTATCGATATGTGAGCCGTTTTGGACTCTTGGAAGCTAAGGAAAATAAAAATGTAAAACAGAAAATATGTTAAGACCATTGTTATTGTTTACATTCCTCAAAATTGTCTATATACATAAATAGTTGCATTTTTTCTTAAAGTTAGAAATGTAATGTCTTATGCCTGAATACTTTAAACTAGGGCTGCACAATATTGGTTCAGCATCGATATTGCAATGTGTGCATTGGCAATAGTCACATCGCAAAACATGCAATGTTAAGTATGAATTATAGTTGACCAGGAGATACAGAATTGTATTTAACGAAGTAGCGAATTTATACAATTTATGCCAAAAAAAATTTTGTCTTGTTTTTATTCCAATTCTAGTTCTAGGGTAAAACTCTTTTAAATTTGGCTTATTTCTTCTGAAGTTGAAAGCAAAACAATATTTTACATTTAATATTTAAGATTAAGAAATTTCACATATTTGAACTAGTAACAAGACAAATCAAAGTAGGAAGAGCATTTTTTTGCGGTTATTATTCAATTTCTGTACCTAACTCCCTAGAAAACTAGTGCTATTCAAACTATCTAATGAAACTGTATTCATATAACAATATCTATCGCAGAAAAATAAAATGTTGCAATATCATTTTATTCCAATATCGTGCAGCACTACTTCAAACTGACTTGAATGATAAAACATAAATGTATATGATAAATATAATATAAATGATAAATGTTTTAGTGACTTTGTTTAGTGTTTTCAAATGGGGCTCCTGGACAATTATAATATCGATTCGACATATTATTGCGATCTGATTATGAATGTCCTCATTGTGATATAGATGCTGAAGCGATATATTGTGCAATGTGTAGCATTGCCTTAAATAATAAAATCAAATGTACAAAACACACAAACACAAACAATATCCATGAAATAATAAACGAATCCCTAATGCACAGATTCTTGATTATCTAGCATATGTTTTAGGCAGCGGATAGCCCCATACACTCTCACATGCACACACATGCACTACGGCCAATTTAGCTTATTCAATTCACTTAAGTGTGGCTTATTTATAAACTAATTTCAAGGTTCACATGCTTATGATTGAACACGGCTGGTACTGGTTCCGTATATTGCAACAATCAGATGAATACTGAGACACTATAAATAACCAGAGTTTTCCACTTCAGTTATCTTCTTCTTGAAGAATCCCCGATAAGGCGGCACGGCACGTGGCCTAGCGGTTAGCACTGTTGCCTCACAGCAAGAACGCCACTGGTTCAGCCACTCACCAGGCCGGGTTTTTATGTTCCGGGGTTTCCCCCAGGTTTCCCGGTTTCCTCCCACCATCCAAAGACATACACCATAAGTAAACTGACTACTCCAAAATAGCATATTAAGACAACTCTTAGCCAGATATATCTCGGCACGTTCACAAGCAGGGGAGTTCTTGAGACCTACCTGAGCTCAAACTCCCTTCTCCTAAATGAGACAGAGCCCCGGACTTGAGGATATTTTGAGACCTGGGGCCTCATGTATGAAGACTTGCGTGGAAATCTTACTAAAACATTCCCACGTTCAGTTCATTGTTAGTAAATCCAAACGTGAGCGATTCTGAGCGTGAAATCTGGCGTACGCAAAGTTTTTGTTTTTGTTGATACATGAGGCCCCAGGTCTCTCTCATGGGACAACATTACAAAATGTGCTTTATTATCAATCATCAGCTAAGACTAAACTCTTGAAAGCGCATGTCTTTGGACTTGTGGGGGAAACCGGAAAACCTGGATAAAACCCACGTGAACACGGGGGGAACATGCAAACTCCACACAGAAATGCCAACTGACCCAGCCGGGGCTCGAACCAGCAACCTTCTTGCGGTGAGACGATCTTGTGACATTAATTTTTTTTAGTGTCATTTGATTTAGGGCTGCACAATACTGGAAAAACTTGATTTTGCACAATTTTTATTTATTTTTTGCAATATATACTGCAATATGAATACAATTTCACCAGATTGTTTAATGTTTATCTGGGAAGTCTTGGTGCATTCACACCAGATGCGGATGAAGCATCAGTCGCGTATGATTTACATTGTCAATGCAAAGACACGAATAGACATCCTGCGGTGTGATTTGTGCGAATAATCTTGAGTGCGTATCGCTCGTTGGAAAATCTGAACTTCATCAGACATTTGCGCCGCGTTAACCAATCAGGAGCTTGCTCTTGTAGGGGTGTTGATTATGACGCAGTGCCTGTTGTTGGTGTCCCGAGGGGAATCCTCTTGCCGACACTGGTAACGGTTCATCAAACTGGGCTCAGCTCAGTCAGAAGCACCGCTGAAAGCCTTCATCATCAGGTATAATTTCTGGAGGAGTTGATAAACTCACAGAGCTGGGTGCACCTCTGAAAGCATCTAGTTGACTCAGACACAGCGACTGGTCAACAATAATTCAGACCAACAATCATTGCAGACTATTGCAGACAATCATTGTGACTATTGCGTGCCATTGCATTTGTAGTTTGAATGCATTTTCTCAACACTTTCTTGTGTGTATTTCCTGTATTTCTTCTCCTCATCTATCTCTCTCTCTTTTTCAGGCTCTCAGACCTTCATCAGTCAAAATGCCTCAACAGAAGGATATAGTAAAGATCGCCATCCAGATGCCAGGGGCGTACCCGCAGCTCATTCAGCTGGACCAGGTGAGCCGTCCTGCACTTCCTGTCATAAAGAGGATGTTGAGTTCATAAAACAGTGCGAAACTGGCCGCCTCTCAGCATTTGAGGAATAACAGCACTCCTCATTTAGTGCAATGCTGAAGTTCATGCAGATAATTTGAAGGGTTTCACGTGAATGAGGAAGTTGTGTGTTTTTAAATATTGTAGCTGTGTTTTTTGGAAAGCTTTGAGTTGCATTTGTGCTTACAAGTGGAAAGTATTTTCTGGAAAGTTTTAAAATAGTATGTTTCATTTTGCCTTTACTTTGAATTTGAAAGCAGGAATGATTACTAGACATTTTACTAGACAAATTAAACAGTGAATTTTTCATTTTCTCTGGGTTGTGACAGAGTTATTATATTACTCATTTGTCAATCATTAACCAGCCAGCCCAAAGTCATAGATAAACATGTGTTGAACTTGAGAAAGACATGGATATGAAGGAGAAATAATAAAAAGACAAAATTATTAGTCCTTCTGTGAATTTTTTTTTTTTTCAAATTTTTTGCAAATAATATTTAAAGTGGTGGTCCAGGGTGTATTTTAAGGTTGGTTGTGTTTATAAGATGCAAATCGTATACAGCTACTCAGCTAACATGAAAACGACGTCATATTTCCTAGTTCCTCCGAAAACCTGCCCTCAGTAGGCTCTGATTGGTCAGCTAACATATTGCGATGTGATTCGTGGATTGTTTCTATGTCACCAGGAAGGGTCATGCCTCTACTAGCACATGCTTTGCCATCGTGTAACTACTGTCAGTCAGTGTAACTGTCAGCCTTATCAGTTTGAGCCTGAATCAAACAAAAATGAAGAGGACACAGCTGAACCTCATGCCTGCTATTATAGTTGGAGCTGTTCCTTTGAGAAGTTTTTAGCTGTATCCACCAGTGAACTGTGAGAGATTATGGAAACTGTCCTTTGTCAAATGCTAGCTATGTCTTTTTATAATTCGCTGGAACATGATAAAAAAATTAACTTGTAAGCACTTCTCTCTTTGCGTCATGTACTTTGTAAGCCCAAATACAGAAACATATGAAGCTCTGTGGAAATAGCACTTTTTGGATGGCATTTTAGCTTTCTTTGCTATAACATCACAGTGCCCCTGGCCACCTCCCTTCGCTGTACGTGGTGTATGCATGTGGTAAATGCTCGTAACCTGAAGCGTTTGTGATCTCACTAGCCCGCATGTATTTTTTTGTTGTACCCAAACTTTGTTCGCTGTAGGTTTTGCTAGGCCAATGTCTCTCTTTGCATTGAACTTTTGAGCGACTTGCATTCAGAGATGTTGTTTATGTTTACACAGCTACATTACACATCAACTAAAGTTTAAAATATGATATTGTATTGGACCACCCCTTTAACATGCCAAGTGCTTTTTTACAGTATTTCCAATTTCCAGTATTTAATTTCTTTTAGTTTTGCTGGAATAAAAGCACCTTTAAAAACATAAAAAAATAAAAATAAAAAACAGATGCGCAGCTCAGCACCACGACATGACAGTTGGAAGAATTGCCCATCAGACACGCACATAACTGGGCGCCACAGACAGCTGCTGACTTGCGGCACCGATGTGCATACCCTGATAAAAAAAATCCATGTTTGGAATTCTAAAATCCATGGGGCTGCATGGTGCGGTGCATCTGGTGTGCGACTCCCTTTACCCGCCTTAAGAAATTATTTTTTTAATCGGCTACTGACCAAACCGCTGTTATCCTGTTATAACCTAATTAACCTTTTCAGCTTTTAAATTGCACTTTAAGCTGAGTTTGCAAAATAACTAGAAAAATATTATGTACTGTCATCACCAATTAAATTATTATTCTAAATTTATTGTTAAAACTATTATGTTTAAATAAAAATTAATAATAATTTCTATGTATATTTATACATGGAATTTGAAGTCAGTTCTGGTTTTAGATCCATTTCAAAATTATTAAAATGACAAAAAAATAAATAAATGACCAAAAAAAAAATAAACTGGTGGTGTTACACATCACAAATCTCTTGGTTCAGATCACACTATGGTTTTTCGGATCAGCCAAAAAAGAGGAGACAAATGTAATTTGCTTTCCATTTATTACAAAAACAGTACTTCAAGATACTTTTGGTTTTAACAAACTGAACTGAGAACTTGTAATTTCATTAAAAATGAAATGAAGAAATAATCAGCTGAATAAAAACAAATAGTAAAATATTCAGTACTGTGAAAAATTTACTGTTACTGCTCTTGCTGATAACGCTTGATGCAGAAATCAAAGATTATAATTTGTACAACCCATATTTATTTTTAGTCTCATTTTCAATAAATGAGTTATTCACTCATTAAACTTCGTTTCATTGCTAGATGATCATTTTTGAATAATTATTCAGTGGCATATTTTAATGGCTGGTTGTCGCCACCTATTGGTTAAATAATTTAATGGCTGCCTACAACTTTCATTTTTGAGCATCAAGTTCATGCATATGATGGTGATTTTAATCTTTACCTTAAATGTCAGTGGTTTTATCTAAATTATAAATTGTTATCCCAGTATTTCAGTGTTGTTTGATTGTTTGTAAACTAAAGACTGAATCTCTTTCTTGATTTTTGCTGTTTTCAAACACAAATTTGAATGCAGCGATTCGAAGGATAAATAAATATCTGCAAATCGCCATCATTAAAAATTTGTTGCAAAGTTTTTGAGATCCCGATCTTTTAATGATTAATCGTGCAACTTACACTGAATGCATTAATATAGGCTTAACGAGTAGTGACAGAAAACACCTTTAATAACTTAAGAAACCCACCACATCCCGAATAACTTACCACAACGTACTCCGTCATCATTATATTTTACAGGAAAGCCTAAATGCTTTTTCATACATGTGATTTGAATTATTTGAGCCGATCTCTCTGTGACCGTTACAAATTTAGGATTAATCTACGTGTAAAAAACAAAAAGTATTAATCTGCGAATCATGTGTGTTCCGTACAGTGATTTGTGATCTGTTACACCCCTACACATTTTTAGATAATTAGAAAATGACATGTCCATATGAATTGGTATTTGTATTATTTATTTAAAATTGTACTTGAATAATTGTTCATAAAATGGTTGATTACAATATTGTTAGCACAGTCACTCATATTTTATGCTTTTTGTGTGTGTGTGTGTGTGTGTGTGTGTGTGTGTGTGTGTGTGTGTGTGTGTGTGTGTGTGTGTGTGTGTGTGTGTGTGTGTGTGTGTGTGTGTGTGTGTGTGTGTGTGTGTGTGTGTGTGTGTGTGTGTGTGTGGGGTCAGCCCAGTTATTTGTATTTACTTCCTCTTTTATAAGTTAGTTGTAAAACAAAAGTAGTTTGTGTTAAAGCTGAAATCAAATAAGTATTGGTTGGAAAAACCTAAAAACAGGCTTAAACTGACATTAAAATGTTTTAATAAAACAAGTTTAAATTAATATTCAAATTAAGAACACAAAAAAGAAAAACATGAATGCAAAAAAAAAGAGAAAAATGTAATCAATGCATCAGTGATAACGGTGATGCTGCTTACAAATCACAACCAATTAGTTGGTTCTGGTTTGTATTGAATGAGCTTTTATAAGCGTCTGCCAGTTGGAAACAATAGGGTGACCAAATGCTGAGCACATTCAGTATCTTGAGGCTTTGATCCCCATTGTTCGGGACATCCTAACAGAATGTGTAATTACATTGAGGGCCAGCCATTGTCCCCTGGGTCTTCCAAACCATAATATAAGTGGGCTGAAATGTGAATGAACCTGTTGTTCGACTACGATTGGTCCTTAAGGATTAGAAAGAACCTCAAAACTTCCTCTCATCCCGAACGCTTCGAGACGCTGCCAGCAGAAAACCACTAATGACAGGCCAGTCCATGGTGGACCACACAACACCCAAATGTCTGATGGGTGAACCACACGAATGGCCACTAATTACAGGATGGTTCACATGTTGACCCGGGAGAAGCTTTTCCCTTTCCCTTTTTTTTCCAACTTGTTTTGTTTTTGTCAAAACACTTGAAGAAGAATGTGTAAACATGACAAGTTCTTGATTTTTAAAATGTTTTTCAGGGATGTGTAGAATTTACTAGTGATGAGAGAATTTAAACTTTTAAAACTTCGAAAACAATTGAACCAGTTGCTTTGCTAGAATTCAGGCAAAACATGGATATTGCAAATTTTATGGATATTGCGAACTTTAACGCTATAACCTATAAATGTACTTAAGTTATCATCTTATTTGATTGAATATGTGTCTGCACAATATGCATAATCATTATTATAATTTTCTTTTTATTATTTTTTTATTAACAAAGCATACAGGCTGAAATAACAATATAATGACAGGTATCAATCCGACTACCCCCTTTTCTCTTTTAAACTGGTTATTCAATGAACAGAAGTTAACAAAAACAAAAGTACAGTATCAAGAATGAGAAATCAGTAGAATACAATATGCATTATTGTAAACATTCAAGGCTTTTATATTTATTTTATATAT